TCTTTTTTTTTCACCTATGTAAATATGACTTTAGCTAAAAGATTAACCCAGGAGTTGGTGGTTGGTGTTGTTGGCCAGTTGCCTTCCTTTTAGTCAATGAAGGTAAAGAGTTAAAAGTTATAATTAATTGCATATGTGTTTTACTCAGTTGTTATTAAACAATTAAATATACCCAAAATTCTACCATTAATAAAAATTTTGGCATTTCTAATTATACTTATAAAGTGAATCAGGTACATGTGCAAAGGTACCTGCGGCTGTTTGATTAGTTGACGCTTCTGATAAATAGACATTATATTGTACTCACACATTTGATTTATTGCTTTTTCACAGAAAAATTTTAATATTTTCAAATCCAGCATTCTCAAATTGTTTCCAAATGCAGAAAAGGAAGTAATTTAATAGCCAATCACATTTATAGCTATTCTTGTTTAGTGCTGCCATCTATATGCAAAAAATTGTTTTCACAGGCCCCAATCCTTGAACTCCTATGTACCTTATGATTAACATGGTTCAACTGCTTCCCACATGTAAATCAGCATGTGATAACCCTCCATCAATAGGAGTGCGACACACGATTCTCTCTATTCGATTCTACCAAACTATCACTTCTCAATAGGCTGTTGTCGAGTGCAGACGTTTTTCACTTGTGCTCTTTTCATGTAATTTTTTTTGTGTGAAGTAGTGATTTCCTTGATTTATTCATTTGCTACAGTTTTTCTGTAGTAGGTTGCCATGATAACTTGCCTTTGTTTATTGATTTTTTTCTATCATTTTGAACCTTAAAATGAATTCTGAAGTTTGTGTTTTCAATTGTGCTATTATTATGGCTATTTTGAGTGCCATTACCGGTTTCAGGTCTGGGTTCTTGACCAAGGATTTTTGGCTATCATTCGTTGGGTGATTGTTCATTATTTGAAGCTTCCTTTTTCTCCTGACCATGATCGAGTTCTTCCTGCATTTTCTGAACCTTTTCATGATAAGGAGGATTTTGACAGCCTTTTTTCATCCTCTTCACTATGTTATGCCTTCTCATGCATCTCCTACTACATGTACTAGGCCTAACTCTTCAATTTTTTGATATGCTTTCTCAGTTGTGTTCTGTTTTTCATATGATATCATTCCTTCCTTTTTACATGACACCCATCATTAGAGTCTCTTACTTTCCCTCCTTCCCTGGTTCATACTGAGCATTTTGTTGAGGGCTGGTGTTAGCATGCTTCATCCTCCGTGGACTTCTGATCACTATGCTTTAGCATATTGGCAAGCTGATCAACTCTTTCATGAACCCATATTTCGTTGCTGTTAGGACCTTATTGGAAGGATGCTGTCTTTTCACAGGTTCATCTACCTTCCCCTTATCTTCATTATTTCTGGAGGACTCCTTTTCTCCATTGGTTTGTTTTGGAGATTTTTCCAGAGTCTTTGGAATCGCATGTGAACTCTGTGAGTCCACATTCAACCCTTTCATCTTTGTTTGCTCTTTTGTCTCATTCTGATCCAATGACTTCTCCAATAACTGTTTCTCATCCTGCAAACCTCCTATACTTTACCAGTTCTTACCACTAGGGGTTCAGTATTTTTGCGATGGGTCTCGAAGTTGGGTTCATTGTCACCAGCAGTTCCAGTGACAGTTATCCACTAGCTATTCTTGGGTGATACACATTTTGTCAGAAGGATATTTTATCCTTTTCCTTTCCCCTCCACATTTGTTTCTTGTACCAATTTTCTTCCCATTAACTCAGGATCCTTCCACTTTTCTGCATCTATCCAAGGTTGTGCTAATCCTTTTATCACAGTGAGCTGTCGAGCCTGTCAGCCAACCTTTTCCAGGATTTTCCTCTAGGTTTTTTGTCCTGTGATCCATCTGTCCTGCCTCAGCCAATTTCTGGATCTTCCCCAATTTCTTATGGAGTCTTTTATCACACTCAGGGGTTTTTTCTCCAGGACTAGGGATGTCCAAGGTAGATGTCTTGAATGCCTATCTACATATTTGTTTTTCTCATCAGTCCAAATGCTATGTTTGGTTTGTCCTCTACAGAGTTGTGTATCAGTTTCACTCCTGGTCTTTCAAACTTGCTTCGGCATAGTATGTATTTTATTGGGTGTTCAAGGCTTTTGCCCAACATCTGCATGATATAGGGTTCAATTTACACCACTACATTGACAAATGGCTCCTGTTCACGCATTCTGAACCATAGTATTCTCAACACACACACATCTGCCACTGCCAGTAGCAGCTTGTGTTGGTTGAATTCTAGAATTGATATAGTTTTCCATTTGCCTATCCATTGTTTTATCCACTTAGGTGTATTTTTTGACACCCATCTCACTCTGGTCCAACCTTCTTCACTTCTTCTCCATTCGATAATGCTTTCAGTTCTCCATGCATTTACTGTTTCCTTGGTTTCTGCACTAGAGGTTATGTCACTTTTGAGTACTTGACCTTCTATGGAAGCCCTTATTCCTTTGCATAAGGCACATATGCGTTCTCTTCAATGGCCTCTGCCTAGCCAGTGGTTTCATGTTCAGGATACCTTGGACTCCACAATTACCCTTCATCCTTCCCTTACAGACTGTCTGTATTGGTGGTTGAACAAGGATAGCACCATGAAGGGAGTACCATTTCCTGCACCATGTTCGGATTTGCATCAAATCATGGATGCTTCTCTCCAAGGTTGGGTGTGGGGGTCTGTCAGCAAGAGGCTTTTGGGCAGTATTCTCGGATCATAATGTCTTACCACTTCATCATCTTGGATTTAATAGCAGTATGCCATTCTTTGGTGTGTGTAGTCCTCCAATCATGCATTCCACCTCAATATGGTGGGTCTTGGAGGTTGATGTTTGCCCATTTTCTGTACAGTTCTATCCAGAAGGTGAGGTTGCTTATATTTTCAAATTTTCTAGATGCGATCCACTTCTGTGTGGTGGGATCTAGAGGGTGCTGTTGCATATGCTCCACTTCCATGCAATGGGTCCCAAAGAATGAGGTTGCACACAGCTTCTGTGAAGTTTTATCCAGAGGATGAGGTTACTTATATTTTATAAATGTGATACACTTCTGTGGAGTGGGACCCAGAGGTTGCAATTTTGCTCCAGTTTTTGTGCGATCCTCTCTAGAGGATGATGTTGCTTTGGAATAAATCCATCACATTGCATTTCACCCCTTCAATTGGGATCCATCATCCTACCATCACCTGTATGTCAGTTCCCAGTGAGTCATTTTGCTGAAGAGCTGGGTCAATCAACATAAGTCCTCACACATATTGGTTGTGTTTTCTCTTCTTCACTCAATTTGTTTCATGATCTCCACCTTCATGCAGTGGGTCCCAGAGGGTGAGGTTGCTATATATTTCTAGAGGTGATCCACTTCTGGAGGGTGGCATTATGTTTAGGCTTTTGTTCAGTCCTATCCAGAGGATAACGTTGATTGAGATGACAGTTTTTCCTTTCATACTCCACATCAGGAAGTTTTCACTGCCTGAGGTTGATGTTGCACAATGGGGGTGCCAGTGTGATTGAGTTTGATGTGATCTGCCACATTGGCACATCTTTTCCTGCTGTCATTCTGATGTTGGGTTACCGGATGTATGGCTGGTTGTGAATTTGTGCACATGTGCCCATTTTGAAGATTGTTTTGCACAGTATATACTTCCATTCTACTTAACTTGAGGTGAAGATGGTGTTGACTCTCCTCCTACCACAGATCTGTGGTTCTATTCTCGATACCACTGGTTTTGGAGTGGAATTGACTGGCTGTGTATAGCCTATCTTGCCCTAGCTACTCTACATCTCTACACACAGCAATTTTGAGAACTTGGAATAAGAACACGGTTACTGATATTTCCAAAAAATTGTGTGTTCTACGTGTGTGTCACAACTAACGTTGAGTTTGCAAGTATTCAATCGCATGTGTTATGTTCACTTGAGTTATTCATCGTTTATATGTGTTTCTGCCACCTGGTACATAAATGGTGCAGTCTCCTGCATGTATTCCTCTCCTAACAGGGATCACACTTCATGGGTGTTCTTTGAATGCTTTCAAAAGATACTTATTTCTCTCCCAAGCACCAGTCCCTCTGCCTATTTAATGTGGGGATTCTAGCTATACACAGAAGTAATGTTCCATACTGGAAATTATCATCTTCCTATACTGAAAGTATATTTCTAATAGGTATGTTCTCATACTTCGCACCCTTCCTCCCCACTGAAAACTGGTGCTTTCTTTTGTACCTAATTGCAAAGTGATAGTTCAGTAGAATCGAATGGAGGGAGTCACGTGTCACACTTCTATTGGTGGAGGGTTGTCGCATGATGATTTACATGCGAGACGCAGTTGAATCACCTTGATTGTGAAGTACATGGAAGTTCAAGGGTTGTGGCATGCAAAGAATGTTTGCATATAGAGGGCAGCACTAACAAGAATAGTTATGCATGTGAGAGGGATTGGAAGGACCTATCAGAAATTTATTTTTAATACAGAAAAATAACTTCTGTCTCTGTGGTTTGATACTGGTACAGTGCTGAGTTTGTTGTTTCAAATAATTTGCAGTCACGATATTAAACAAATCCATAGTGTCTTTGAATAAATATTAAGTTACACATCATGAAAAACAATGTTTAATCCGTTTAACTGCTTATTAAATAGATTTCATATTTAAGTCATTGTTTGCAATATTTAAATTTTGAACCATTTAGTGTTTATATATATATATATATATATATATATATTTGTAGCTAACGAGTCTTTAAAAAAATGTTGTGTACATATTGTTTAACTAGCCTTGGGTTAGTAACCTGTTGTAGTTGTTCTCATGAATGAATTAGTGGCTTAAAGAAGGGATGAGGTTACCATTACTTCAGTTAAACATCCTGTCAAAATACTGAAGAACTGGCTTATTATCACAGCTAAACCAAACTTTATAACTTTGAGAATGTTAAATTATCAGCATATTGTATATGTATGTGTCAATTTTGTAAGTATACACAACCTTTGATAGGTAGTGGATATCAAAATGGACATATCAGCTGTGAAGAGGTCATGGTACACAACAAGAAAGTGGAGAAACATACGTCAAGAAACAATGTTTACTGCACATGTAACATTCAAGAAGAACATTTGCATGAACATGATAAAAGTACTGTACAAAGTAACAACTCGTCAGACTTAGAAATTGGTTCTGCTGTAGAAGTCTTGGTGAATGGGGTACCTCGATATGGAATCATTCGATGGATAGGGATTGTCTCAGAGCAACAGGATAGTAGAAAACTGGTAGCAGGAATAGAAATGGTAAGATTTTTTTGTTTTCTTTCTCTCTCCCTCTTCCTGTGTATGTTTATGCATATGTGAATACCATTTTTGTGCTGTTCTCCTATATAGATAAATAGATAAGTAGCTCAATAATTATCAATTACAATTATTGTTAATAGGCAATTTAGATCATCACTATTAAACAATAAAGAATCTACAATCGTTTAATACATTTATTTCTCTTCCTGGTTAGTCATCTATAGTCATAATGGATAAAGCTTATGGTAATAGGACCCAAAAAGCATTGGGGATATCCCATCTATCAAGCAAAATCCAAAAATGCCAAAGTGAAACAAGTTGACCATCATGGAAAATCAAAACAAGGGTGAGGAGGTGAGTGCTTAAACCCACAACATCTCACCTCCTACTGCCTTATGCTGTCTGCAGCCAGATGTGGGAAGATAGTTACCCTGAAAGTTATTTAAGCTTTAAAAGTAGAAACAGAACCACTCAAAATTTTTACAGTAAAGAACTAGCAACCACCACCTTTATAAAAATGAAAATGAAAGTAAGAAAATTTACTTATAAATTGTCGAAGATTTCTTCAAGTATGACACAGGAAAGCTGAGGCAGGCCCAGCTACTTGAAGTTGGGCTTTCCAAACCCGGCATACTTAAACAAAAGCTTTTTCTTTAAACTAAGTTAGTTATTCAAAGTCACCCTTGATAAACTAACGACCTCTAGGTAAGGAGTTTTCCATAATGGAAAGCTTATTATTTAAAATAAATTTATATTTATTATAAATAATAGTAACAAATTTGTTAGTTGTGCATCTTTATATCCATTATTTTTTAGTTTATTTATGAATAAGGAAACATTATCCATATCGGTGTAGAGGGTATGTTGCATGCACAGTGCCCTCCAGATTTGTATATTCATTTATTTATTTAATCAAATTACGTATTAATAAATTTTTACATTTTTATTCTTATAATATATTTTAGGTACAAACCTCTCCACTAAGATATTATGTTGAATACATATGGCATCTTCTATAATTCTTCTTCATTGCAAAATCGATATATTATCTAATTCTGATACATAGGAATATATTTCGTAATAACTTATGATTGTACAAAAAGTTTTAAATATTTTATTAAAATTTAAAATCATGATTTTCTCATGGAGCACCTATCAATCTTCGATGGAACACCAGTGTTTAGTGGAACATCTTTTTTTTAAAGTAGCTGATTGCTTGAGGTATTGATTTCATTAATTAAAATTTGGGCATTTAATTTTTTAGATATAAAAACAAAATTACATCCAGCTTTATCAATAGGTGTAATAATAAATTTATCTTGAACATGTTTATTTTGTTTTTAAAGACATTAAAAGACAACTCTATTTTATATCTAGATAAATGTAAGGTTCTTAATTGAGTTGTAGTGCACTTAATAATATATAGTTTCCGCTAAAAAAAGAAACATTGTGGGGAATATGTTTTTTACGTATTTTAATAATGTAGTTATCAATATTATTTTCTAGATTTTTTAAGATATCAGATTTGTGTTTTTTTAAAATTCGAAATTTAGTACCATTTTTTAAAATTAATTTTAATTCATTATCTTCTATTACTTCTAAGTTACCTGTTGCTATATGATTATAATAAGTGCCCTTAAATTCGTTGTTATAACAAATACAAAGTAAATTATCTATTTATAAAGGATTAAATTTTTCAATGAATTTTTTATAATTAAAAAGAAGAGGTCCAATAGGTTTGTTATATATTTGTATGTAGGTTGTAGTGATTTTAAAGAAAAAATATTTTCTTGAACACTTTTGAGAAAAAGGTACAGTAAAATTATATCATCATATATTTTATGTTTCAAATCTATTACAAAATAAGATTTTTCTTTTCTGGTTTCTGAAAGGTTATTCGGAATTTGATTACATATTAATTTAAATTTTATTAGATTAAAAATTAAATATTTTATATTAATATTATTAAAATCAAAATTAACTTCGGTATTTTTGGATCTTGCTTGATAGATAGGATATCCCCAAAGCTTTTTGGGTGCTATTACCATAAACCTTATCTGTTATAACTATAGATGACTAACCAGGAATGGAAACAAAATGCATTAAATGGTTATAAATATTTTAATATTGCATATAAAATATTTAATGTATTTACAATTTTTAGCTGCTCTTCATATATGTTTTGTCATCTAACAGTACCAACTGTTTCATATTACAGTGTAATATAGTATTTTACTCTTAGTGGCCAAAGAGCTTTGTCCCTACGGTAGAGCTGCTCTATTTATTCAATTACCTATGAATAGCAAATTACATTGATTATTATCACATAAACTAATCAATTAATTGAAATTATAATTAATTCAATTAATGTCAAGTATTCAAAATTACAATTAAACTGGTTGTCACAAAAATAATAAACTAACCAAAACTAGGGGGTTCCAATTATTCCAACTGTCCAAATAATTGAAATACTGCTAATTTGCCATTATGTTTGTTGTTAAGCACAAAGCTACATAATGGGCTAGCTGTGCTCTGCTCACTGCAGGTATCGAAATCTGAATTCATTGTTATAATTTTTTTATTTGCTCATTTAAAGTTTGTTTGGGCAAGCATGTTCTAGTGACTCGGTGGTCTTGGTTTCGATTTCCATTGCCACCCTGTTTTTGTTATAGCAAAATTACTAAGACTATCTTCTACTGTCACTAATTTTGGTCTGCTGACTAAAAGGAAGGCAACTTGTTAACAGCACCAACTTCCATCTCGTGGGCTACTTTATTTTATTTTTTTCTTTGTACTACCATGGTTTGAGGAACACTCTTAACTGATTAATCAAATTTAAATGATTAATAGGCCTGTTGATTAATCGGATATCAAGTACTAGTAATCATCCATCACTACCATAAAATGACTTGGTTCATAACTGTGTTTTAAATTGTTCTAAATATTCTTAGCCATATAATTTGTATGATAGTTATTAGCCCAATGAATTTAGTACAGCTTAGTTCTAAAATAAAGTTTTCATGAAAATAGTTGGAATGGTTTTATTTAACTGTATGCATGATTACTAGTATTTTAAAACATTCTAAAACAGTGACTTATTTTGTATACTCAAACATGTAGCTGTAGGGAATCAAAACCTTGCAGCTTTATATATTCAATGACGAGGAACCCACTTCGAGACTAATAATGGCTGGAGACGGCTTGAATGGGTAATGAAGAAAAACTTTAATATAAGTTTAACATAACAGCCATCTCCAGCCATTATTAGCTTTATATATTGTTTCAAAAATAGTAGGTAAATGTACATGTACAATCATCCCCCAGTGGGACATTAGTAAGTCTTTGGACTTACAATGCTCAGATCAATGGTTCGATTCCCCTCCGTGGACACAGAAGATAGCCCGATGTGGCTTTGCTATAAGAAAACACGCACATATACAATCATATCCTTAAATGACATTGAATAACTTATAGGAACTACGTTAAATCACATTTTACTGCTTAAGAAACAAGTTGCTTATTGATTTAATTAATTTTATTGCTGTTTAGTTGTTTTTATTTTATCCTACTTTTTATCTAACTATGACATAATAGTCATTTAGTCTACAAAGAACAGTCTTATACATTGTTGTTCCTTTTATACATTTGTATATCAGTTACACATTCTGCCATCTGTTATTAGTGAAAATAATTATGAAAGTATTCTCACTTCTATTATCCTAATAATACAGGGTTGAATATGTTATATTAAAATGATTTTGAATATGCAAATCAGCAAATTATATGACACAACCACATTTTTTGGCATTTTGTAAGTAGTGTAATGCCATAAGAAATTACTGCTTTTGGGAAGAATATATGTCAAGAGTGGGAAAGTAGAACTTCAGTACTGGGGATATTAAAAATAAAAGTATAAGAATCACTTTGGGGAACCAGGATGATACAGAAAGAGAAGTGCAACAGTTCATACCTCAGCCATGATAAACAAACATTTTGTGATGGGGGAAGAGTCATCAATGAACACAAAGATTAGTGGCAACATAATCAAGAAGGATGTATCCAAAAATGAGGCCAGCAGGGTACAAGTTCACCAAGATAAGGCTTCCAGTCATACCTTCTGTTCAACCATTGCATACCTCAAGCAGTTGGAGACTGAAAATGGTGTTCACATTATTGAATGTGAAGACATATTTATGAAACTACAGCACATAACATCTATATATATATATATATATTGGATTGGACTGTTCAAACAGGTGCTGGGAAACCATCATCCTTGTAAACTAGAGGGATTATAGAAATTCTTCAGGAAGAAGTAGGAGTATGCTTTGGACATGACAGCCTTATGATGGAACATTTTTCAATGGAAACTACATTGCAGAGTTATTGTCAATATTCATGGTCATCAGATAGAGTATGACTGGTGGCAACATGATTTATAATAACATGGTGATTCTCCAAAATCATTTTAACATAATGTACTAAACCCTCTCTGGTTGTCTAATTTTTTTTCTTAATGTCATTTGAATCACTCTTGTCTGATGGGTGATAAGCAGTACAAATAGAAACATAACCATAGTATGCAATTTTTCACAAGTATTGAAATAATTTAAACTCTGGTGTGAAGATAGAGTCAGTCAGCAAATTGGAAACAATATATGTCAGTGTCTGTGATTACAAAGAAAAAAGATTTTACCAATTATGTTGCAAGAGAGTTTATGTATATGTAAATTTCAATTATTTCAGGAAGAAGAAGGATTGGGGTGTACAGATGGTACCTTCAACAGGCAACGTTACTTTACTTGTCCACCAAACAAAGCTTTCTTTGTGTTCCTGAACCAGTGTAGAAAAGACGGTCGGTTTATTGAGTCTGAAAGAACTGCAGGTTTTATTTTAATTCTCTTTATTCTGCCCATCAGGTGTTCATATGTTCCACTGCTTCAAGACAACTTATCTATTAACTCTGTGTGCAGGGGTGGGGGTCAAAGTATATATGTCACAACCTTAAAACCCTTCCATTACGGGCTGGGTGGAATCCACCCAACCCATAACCAGGAAAGTATCTATGAGAGTAATTGTATTATAATTTTTGAAAATGTACACAATTCTTTACAAAATTTTGCAAATTTTTAGTAAACATTACAAGGATTTCATAAATAAAATATCTGGTTTTTGAATTATGTTTTAAGATTTTTTTTATCAAAGATTTGCTCGTGAATTTTTTCTTTCAGAATGTTGACTATCCAACGTACAAAGTAATTTTGATTTTATAATTAAAAATACTTTTCTTCGTCCAAAATTTGTCAAGTTTCATTTACGTAATCTCTACATCCTTCTAGATAATCACTAAACGTGTTTTTAATAAAACTTTATATTTAATCTATTATTTTATCAATATTAACTCTATATGGTTTTGATCGATTTGACCGACCTTGTAATCATCATAAAAATTAGGAAATAAATCTAAATTACTTTTTTTTTGTTCTGGAATAACTGAAAATTGTGATAGGAAACCACAAATGTTTATTCTA